TGTGAACGCACCGACACAAGGCACTTGTTCGCTCGATATGGCGTAGCGCAAAAGTAAATGGCTTAGGCCTGCGTGAAACAAATGGCGGCGGATCGACAATCTCTTAGGTCCTGACAGGTCAACCCAAAGGCAAATGCTCTTTCTCAGCGGATCCCTTCTTCTGTTGATCTTTGGGGTTTTGGCTTTCAGGACCAAAGAATGTGACCAGCACTGAGGCGGTGTCGCCTATCTTTTCTAGCTTCCCGTCCCTGACCTTGTCTTCCAGGATTCTCCATTCCGCTTGAAGCTCGTTGTCGAACCTACCATACGAAGTCCGGAGTGGGTATTGTTCTTTCGAGAATCGTGGATTGGGGGTCCGAAACGAGACGGCGTTCCGGCATACGTGTATGCCATATGGATGCTGGACATGCCAACCCGGTCGCTCGGCCAACTTCTGTAAGTGGCTCAGGATGGGGTCATCCCCATTCAACACGCGGCCTGGAAGGACGGAGTTCCGAGCTTTTGCCAGCAAGGGCTTTGTAGGCTTCAAAGTTTGCTTGACATAGCTGGGATTGTATGTGATGCTCCAACTGCCCCGGTCCAAAACCGTTTTCAAATGCGTTGCATTCATCTCTTTGGTGCCGCAGTCTATGAGCATGTTCTCCGTCGATGTCCAATGGATCCTGGTGCAATCTTTGCGGAGCACCTCACGAATCCATGCAACCGAGAAAGCCAAAGATTTCTGGCTTCCATAGGTCGGTGTATCCGACACGCTCTTGTCGAACACGTCCTTGGCGTCCGACACCAAGCCAAGGGGCACGCTGCCAGCATAGCAACTGTCTCCTCTCAACACATCAAAGCCTTGGGCTTCTGCAAAGAGGCCTCGACAAAACAAGCCAGCATCAAATGCCTCCTCTGAACCGAGCAATTCGGCGCCGAATGTGGATCGGCACACTCTGCTCAAGCGATGGCTCCTGGAGTCTAAGACTCCAAACTTTCCTTCACGGCCCTCCATGAGGTCACGATCGCCAACCAACACAAGGTAAGCCGCTTGGCTAAACACTTTGGTGAAGATGCTCCCGTCAGCTCCTCCAGAACGTGTCACGTTCCCCAACGACGCATCCGAAACAACAAGGATGCCAGCCCCATCCAAGCACATAGGCCCGAACTTCAACTTGAAACCAGCATCTTGCTTCATCAACCTCACCAATGCATTGGCCCTCAAAAGGGTCTTGACAACCGGAGGCTCTCCTTGTAGGACACTCAACTGATACCCCATGTCCCAACGCACTTGGGCCACAACCCATTGCAAACTCCCCAAGATCGCCCTCAACTGGCGATGCTCTGAAGGTGTGAGCTGTGCATCCAACTGCTTCTTGCGGTGAATGGGCACGGAAACTGGCTGCATGTTTTCGTGATATGCACGCATGCTAACTTCAATGCTTTTGTCAGGCAACTGTTGCACCAACTTTCCACAATATGTGAAGCTTCCAGTTTCCAATGAACCGAAACCCAACTCTTCACCCAATGCCTTGAGCGTCGCATGGGCTTTGGCCGTTCCGGCCATGAGCAGGTCATCGACGTGGCTCACGACGATCCCATCCAATGTTCCTTCGGGACTCTTGAGGAACCATTGTGCTGCATCCATGCTGCTTCGCACCCAACCAAGTCTTGTCAATGACTTGTTCAAACGCAAATACCAACGTCTGGGCGAGTCAGCTAACCCGAACACTCCTTTCCGGACTTTGGCTAGTCCGTGAGAGCTGAAAGGCAACAACGGCTCATCTGGTGACGTAGCCCTGATGTTTCCAATGTACAACTCACGTTCACCCTCCTGGAACAACTCTCCTTTGAGGAATGCCGATTTGACGTCTGCCGACCATAATGTCCATCCTTTGGCTGCAGCTGTAATGAACAAGATATGTTGTGAACATCTTGAACTTGTTGGCGCATCTTTGCGCACAGCATATGCAGTCTCGTCCTGATATCCCGGGATGACAACCCGAGCATTTGCAAGCAACGGTAGTGGATTGCTGTCCGACCTCAACCCATCATTCTTGTCGGTGTAGATGTACCTGGGAGTCAAGATTTTGTTCATCTGTCCTGCTGCCTTCAACCGGGCTCTGACCTTTTGAGCTTCAGCATCTGTCAAAATCTCGAATGCTCCATTGTCGGTCTGCACTTTCCAACCTGTCTCCGCAGCTTGGCGGTAGGCATCACGTTCGTGAAGGGGAATGTTCCTCCACTTGACCTCACGTCTGGCGGTTTTCGCTGCATTGACTTCGTGTCCACCAGAAGGCCAAAGCACGCAGCACGTTTCATGTGCCATCCAAGAGCTCCTGGACGGCAAAGGCCACTGACCTGACCAGCTCCCATGATCCTGTACTTCAACCAGCTCTGGGCTTTGCTTGTCACGGTCGACTTGCTGCTGTATGGCTTTCAACGGGTGCATCAACCCATCACGAATGTCAGCTTCCAGGGTGTCCACATAGTGTGGTGACTGTGGCTCCACGGGACTGTCATTCTTGTGAGCTTTGGCATACTGTGACACTAAGTCATTCTTGGTCTTCAATATGCTCTTGAGCACTGTGGTGGCAACATGAGCCTCAAAACCAGAACCTTCACGAAGTGTTTCAGCTTCCAGCTCTGCTGCACGTTTCCTGCCCATGGCCTCAAGCTCTCGGGCCGCTTCAACTGACTCCTCCATTCGGCTGCTCAAAGGTGGGGTACCCGGAACCTGACTGGCACCGGTGATCAAGGCAGGCACGGGTGTGCCAGGTGCTGCACCACTCGATTGCCTTGAATGTGCACGAGCAGCTGAGGACATAGCTGATGCTCTTCGACTCAAATTGGATGCTGGCAACTCACTTCCAAAATCCAACCGACTGCCATCGAGGGCTTGAATAACCTCGGCTGGTGCAACTGGAGGCAAATCATGAAAGGGCTCCGTTTCGGGAGCGGCTGGCATCATGTAATGCTGCCTCAACACACTCTTGTATTGCATCATGCCAAACATCAGCTGAAATCTGTTTCGACAGCTGTCCCTTGAAGGACACATATCCTGCATTATGCCCTTCCAACGCCACCAACAAAGCTGGCCCATGCCATCTCCTCAATGACAACCGCTTCTTGGAAGGCGAAGTGCGAGAATTGTATTTGGACTCCCTCCAAAAATACACAATGTCACCCGGCTCCAACTGTTGTGTCATCGTGGAGCTTCTAGACCTTGCCAATTCTGCCTTGCGGATCCCTTTGGAAAAATGGAGTCGCGTCATGGCAATGCGGGCTGTCTCACGTAGGGCAACTTGTCTGGCCAATGAAGGGCGGCCATCTATCAAACCATGCTCTGCCAACCTCTGACCAAAGTTTCCAAGAACATCGCCAATCATCCGTGGCTGTCGACCAATCGCTGCTTGTGCTGGGCTGACACCAAGTTCGTTGATATCTGCATTGTATGCTAGCACGCACTCTTGCAACGCAACTTTCATGTCTGCAAGCCCTGCAACTGAACGACTCTTGACGCAACACTCCAGCAAACCTTTCAGTATCCCACCTCCTCTCTCACATACACCATTGCACCATGGTGCCTGCACTGGGATGTGGTGCAAAAGGATCGAATGGCGGTCGCACATCTCTTGGAAAACCCATGACACGAACTCGCGTCCCTGGTCAGCGACAATGACCCGCGGTGGGCCAAAAATGCTCATCCACCTCTCTTGGAACCAGTTGACAATGCTGTCAGAGTCTTTTGTCTCCAGAACTTCTGCCATCTGAAAACGACTGGTCCAATCAATACAATGCACAATGTAGAAACGCTGCTCTGAAACATCAACGCTCTCAAAGATATCCAGGTGAACCTGGTCGGAGACATCCTTTGGTGTGGGCAAAGAAGTCGGTCTCCTGCTCTTCGGGCGTTTCTTTTCATCGCAAATGCTGCACTTCAAGGATTTGGCAGCCAACACCACCTCCTTGGGAGCTCCTGACAACACCAAGGCTCGGGCCAGTCGTCTGTTCGACCTGTGTCCAGTGTTCTCATGCAGACGCTTGACAGCTAGGCGAATGGCTGAAGGGATCTTTGTCTCTGGTGACCCTTCATCATCCATGGAAGAAATCTCTGACTCAGAATTGAAGGGGTCCATCACCGAATCTCCTCCATCATCTGACCGTTCCTCCTCCGCCCCAACAACTGCAAGCACCTCTCGACAGCGGCCATGATCAACATGAAACTGCTTCTCAAGACCTCTGACAATGGCCTTTGCAAGAGCGACCGGATAATGCCCTGCTCGACTGGTGATTTTGGAGCCACCAATAACCGGCTGGTGTGCATGGTCTCGGGAGCACACCATGCCATGGAGTTCATCAGCAATGCATGATGATGATGTGGCAATCCTCGTAGGTTTCTTGTGCAACAAACCATCAGCGCTTCTCAACTTGAATGCACACTGATCAAAATCAACACACTCAATGTTGGGCTGCTCAACAAATTGCACAAGCTCCGGAAGGCTCCAAGCCAATGAACAACGCGGATTCTCCAATAAAACATGTGCTCCTCTCTTCAACTGAATCCGGGCCAACACAAGTGCAAAGTTCAACAAAACTCTACCCTGTTGTCGTCTCTCGTCCAATGTGGAGCTGGCACGAAGACGTGTGAGCGGTGACCACGGCCCACATGGAAATGCAAGCACCAAACAAAAGGGGTCCTCCTCCATGACCTTTCGAATGCAAGCTTTTCTGTCCTCGGCCATTTGGAAATCCCAACCACTTTCAAGCGACATGGAAGTGGCAGCACGGTGTCCTCGAAGTTTGGCCTGTCGAGCAACCTGGCTTGTAGCCGTATAGATCTCACCAACCAAAGGTGGTTTGTCCGGGCCTTTCTTGATCCCTCGCGGGTCGGGCGAAGGCCGCTGGGCTTGAGCCACCGCACCAGCTGTTTGGCGCCTTGCCGGACCCTGAGAAGGACCAATCTCGACCCTCATGATGAAGTGCTCGTTGAAGCATTTCGACATGGTGTGATTCCAATCCTCGTGCATTGTTTGGAGAACTTCATATCGTGTCTTTGAGATCAGAGCTCGATCCCGGCAATGCTTTTCCCAAGCCTGGCTGATCATCTGCGCCAAACCTGGCTTCAACTCCTGATGCACTGCCCATGGATTCAATGGTTCAGGAACGGTCCCTTGAGAAGGTCCTCTTCGTCCTGCCTCAGGTCTCCCTGAACTTCCCAATTCAACCTCCGCATCTCCTCGGGGGTCATGAATCCTCCCTCTTGGGCGGCTGCAATCTCCTGCTGAGTCCATCCATGCGTCATGTGGCCGTCCATCTCGGAATCTTTGGCGGTCATGTCGTAGCGCATGGTGCCCTGAGTCTGAATCCCTACAGGCATTTGACTCCCCTGCAAGGACATCATGTGGGTCATGACCTGACTCAGCATAGCCTGGAACTTCTGATCTTGTTGCGAAAGAAGTTCTTGAACATCTTGCATTTTGACTCCTGTCCCAAGGCTCCCGACTGTAGTCGAAGGCGTCGACGGTGCAGGTCCTGGCAGAGCTCTCCCAAGGATGGAGCTTTGGAAGGCTTCGGAGGCTCCTCCTGAAAACTTGCTCCACTTGAACTGCTGGTCATCGATGACGCTGGAGCTTTTGCCATGAGTGCTTGAACCACAGGCTTGATGCCTGCTTTGAGCTGCTCGACAGTCGTCTTCTCGTTGAACGAGACGTGAAGCAATGATGCCAGCTTCTGGAGGTCGGTTTTGAGAGCCGGTAAACCTCCTTTTGGACCGATGAGTTCCCTCACCGCTTGAAGCTCCTTGCCCTCCTCTTTGGCCTTGATGGCCAATGCTTTGGCTTCTGCCACGGCTTCTTGACGAATCTTGTTCGCCACTCCTTTTGAAGACCTTGCGGCCAACATACCCTGCAGCATCGGGTCCTCCACGAAGGATGTCTGCCATCCAAGGCGATCCCTGAGCCACATAGCTTCCTTCAAGTTTCCAGCTGTGTACGCCTGGCATTGAAGAGCTCTTTGATGATGGCGTCTGGACATGGCTCCGTTGGAAACCATCTGCTGGGCTTGAAGCTGCCACTGCATGATGCTGCTGATGGAAGGGTATGGAAATGGCGTGAATCGAAGCCAAGGCCGCCGACATAACCATAAGCAAATGCCGTGCACGTGCCATAGGAGTCTTGCACGGAGACGGATGATGATTCTCCTCCACTGGAAGGCGAAGCGGCCTTCGGGTGCCTCTTCCATGGATCCCAAGAGCAGCGGCTCGATTGGGTGAACTTGAAGTCGAGGTAGTCGATGTCGGGGTAGCTGTTGGCGTTTGAGCCATGCTGTGAGCCAAATCATCAAAACAGCTTCCATCATCAAAACTCACTCCAACAAGCTTTGCTGCACAAACGCTGTGTTCCGACAACAAATGCTCATGACTATTTGTTGACAACGATTGCACTGCTAACAACTTCCGTTGAAGCCAATCTGAATGTGAAATCTGCAAAGCGACAACACCATCCTGCCCAACTCTTCGCCAACGCATCTTGCCTGGAATCGGCCACTCCGAGGGGATGAGCCGTAGTGCAAAATGTCCTGCAGCTAATTGTTTCAAGGGGATGTGATGTCCACTCAAATGATCTGCTCGCATAACTCTCTTCGAAAAGCTCAAAACGCATCCAACTCCATCCAACCAGTCACGTCCCAGCAACAATCCAAGACTCCCCACAGGAATAATGGATACCCATGTCAAAACCAGGTCCGTGCCGACAACCATGGGAAGGCGAATCCGAACTGAACTCTTCTGTGTTCCACCGTCACCGAATTTGAACGTCTCCTGCTCCTGGCTTCGGCTGACCAGCTGTTGAATAGCCTCAGGCGCCGATTGCAAAGCTGCTAAATAATGCTCAACCCACGCCGACCCACAACATGTCCGGTTACAAGCTGAATCCAATGCTCCCATCAAACGTTTGTCCAAAGAAAGCGAAGCTAACTGTCCAACATGAACCTCATGCGACCCTTGCAATGCTTCGGCCAAGGTCGACGGTCGACTAACCCGGGAGGTGGTCATCACCTCGTGGGCTGGGGTGTCATCAACATCAGCATCCACCGCCATCTCGGTGGTCAACGCTTCAGCAACTCTAACATGCTTTTGAGGCTTTGCCGAATTGGATTTCGGCTTGAACAAACCAGCACCGGGGTTTGGGCATCCATGGTCACCACTCCAATGCCCTTGCTGTCCGCAATCCCAGCAACTGGATTTGGCTTTCTTGCCATTCACTTGATTGCCCGTAAACTTGGGCTTGTTCGGCATGGACGAGGATCCCTGTTTACCATATCCTCGATCCTTTTTGATCTCGGCGATCTTGCGGCGTGCCTCACGCATGACTCGGCTGCCTGCTCAACGCCTGATTCCAAGGCCTCAAGGACATCTGGTTCAAGTCCTTCTTCCTCCAAGGCTTGGATCTCGGCGGCAAGAACCTCCGCCTCGGCAGTGAGCACCTCCTCCAAGGCCGGTCCGATCTGATCCGGATGGTCCGGAACAAGTTCTTCCTCATCCTCCTCGCCCTCGGCAATCTCTTCAACTGGGCCCTCAGTCACCAAGGCACTTCGAGGTGGAGCTTTTGGGGAGGGTTTGAAACTCCTTTGTGAGCCACCTGAAAAGCTGGAATTCTTGAACGACCGATTGCCAAAGGACGAACCTCCACTCGACGGCAATGAGGTTCTATAGGAAGAGGAGACTGAACCTTGGGACTGGTTGAGGAATCTGTTCAACAACGGTGCACGCTCTGTGGCCTTTTGGCGATGAAGAGGGTCCTCACTATGGAGGTCACGAAACAATCTCAAGCATTCACCCTCAACTTCCTCATACGATTCCCGGCCACGCAATGCAGTGTCCAACAGCTGAACTCTCAATGTATCCAATCCCAACTTGTTCCTCAGGAACCAGCCCAATTCATCGGCAGGCAGGTTAATGCCTTCCCTTTTGAGCTCCGAAGTGATTCTCCTGAACCTGGAACAAAATGCACTGATCCGTTCTCCAGGCGATCGCCTCAACTCAACATAAAATTGTCGACGAAGATCACCTTTGCGGTCAAGGGTCGTTTTGCCCATCGACTCTTCCAATGCATCAACCAACTTTCGAAGCCCTTTCCAAGGGTTGGCTTCCTCAACAACTATGTCATCGCCAGTATCGGGGTCTTTAGCTGTCACTTCTTTTGACCCCTCAAGCTCTGATGGAAGAAACTCTTCGCACCTGGCCCTGACAATTCCTGTTTGTCTCAATGTCCACCTTGCAGCAACATTAAATTTTCCACAGGAAATTGGGTCCAATGATGCAATCCACCATTCCATCTCTTTCTTGAACTGGCGGAATCCTGTGGGGTTTCCGTCCCACGTTGGCACCTTGTACCAAGCCGAAGAACCTTTGTCGTCTTCAGCCATTGCTCCAACAAAATGTCGAAGATGAAACTGCAGGTAAAGCAAGCCAAGAAAAAAAAAGGTTCAATGCGCAACGCAATGCTCAATGTACAATGTAGCAAAAAGGAGATGCAATGCAACAAAGTTCAAAGACGCAGTCAATGTCCAATGTACAACGCAACTCAAAAGGGCAGTGCCCACAATGTCAATGTCCAACGACGCTGTCAAGGACCAATGCACAATGTGAACACCAGCTGTACCTTTCAAGGATGTAGCCCTAGCAATGTAATGGCTTAGCCAACAACAATGTCTATAGAAGCTCACACCCAGCAAATTCCGGTTTTGCAAGCAACTGGGATAGAGCGCAGCTCACAACCAATCACCAACACAAACCAACTATGCAATGCGGAGTTCGGGCAGCGCAAAAGTCAAGGCCCCAAAGGGCAGCAACCAACGCACGCAAGCGGACCTTCAAGCTCCGAGTACCACTGTGAACGCACCGACACAAGGCACTTGTTCGCTCGATATGGCGTAGC